CACGCACGCGCACGCACGCGCACGCACGCGCACGCACCCGCACGCACGCACGCACGCACGCACGCGCGCGCACGCACGCACGCACGCACGCGCACGCACGCACGCACGCACGCACCCGCACGCACCCGCACGCACGCACGCACGCACGCACCCGCACGCACCCGCACGCACCCGCACGCACCCGCACGCACCCGCACGCACCCGCACGCACCCGCACGCACCCGCACGCACCCGCACGCACCCGCACGCTCCCGCACGCACCCGCACGCACCCGCACGCACCCGCACGCACCCGCACGCACCCGCACGCACCCGCACGCACCCGCACGCACCCGCACGCACCCGCACGCACCCGCACGCACCCGCACGCACCCGCACGCACCCGCACGCACCCGCACGCACCCGCACGCACGCGCACGCACGCGCACGCACGCGCACGCACGCACGCACGCGCACGCACGCGCACGCACGCGCACGCACGCACGCACGCACACACGCACACACACACACCACACACACACACACACACACTCACACACTCACACACTCACACACTCACACACTCACACACTCACACACTCACACACTCACATACTCACACACTCACACACTCACACACACTCACACACACACACTCACACTCACACTCACACTCACACTCACACTCACACTCACACTCACACTCTCACTCTCACTCTCACTCTCACTCTCACTCTCACTCTCACTCTCACTCTCGCTCTCACTCTCACTCTCACTCTCACTCTCTCACACACACACACACACGCACGCACGCACGCACACACACACACACAACACACACAACACACACACACACACACGCACACACACACACACACACACTAGCGGGGGCACGGCGGGGTGCCCGATGGGCTCAGCCGGGCCAGTCTCAGCGCACCGCACCGTCGTTGGTGCTCATGTCATGTTGCGGCGCCCGCCAGCAGAGTGCCCTCGCTCGGCTGGGTGTGCGCTCTGCGTCTCACCGCCCCCGCCGCTTGCCTTCGGCGGGCTGTGCTGATCATCTGCTCCCCCAGCTGCTGATTTGCTTCCCCAGCAGCGGAGCTCCACGGCCTGCTGCCATGATGGCATACTGGGGTGCTCGGCCGCAGTCTGCGCGCAGCGTGAGATAATGTCTTCTCATGCTGTCCTCAAGTATTTAGCGAGTGGGCTGTCGTGGTATCACAGTGCTGCTCGGGCGCCCTGTGGCCACACGCTAATCGAGCGGCCTGCGCTTTTGAAACATATGCCGCACTTTTAGACGCCCCTCCCCTTCATCCCTCCTCTACCGCCCTCCCCTCCCCCGCTCCCCTCCTTCCCCTCTCCCACCTTCCTTCTTCCCTTTTCCCTTGTCCTTCCTTCGTTCCTCATTTCCACTCCCTTCTCCTTTCCCCCTCCCGCCCCCCTCCCCTCCACCCCCCTCCTCACGGGGGCCGAACCTGTCCCTGTCAGCTTGTCGCTGTAGCCGAGGCGGGCGTTTGGGCAGCAAACGCCGCCATGATTGGGCGCACTGGGTCTCACTCTGCCGCTCCCTGAGGTCTCACTTCTGTGGCTGACATTTCTAACCGACATCGCCAGTATGTAAGTGCTCTCTCTTGTATGATGTCGTGGAAGAGGCGTTTCAGCAGCCGGCAGCGGAGTGCGGTCTGGGCCAAAATCGATCGTATTTCTCCGCTCTTCCCATCCGTCGTCGGCCGCAGGTTTCCGCAGCTGGGTGCGCCGGCTTCTCACGCAACCGTGCACTCATCGCAAGCTGCCGCGAGGTACACAACACGAGCTCACAGTTCCCAGCACGCCATGTGCTCTACGACCCATGCAGCGCGTCACGTCACCCCACGACACGCGCAGCACGAAAGCATGCAGTGCGCAGCATGCAGCGCGCACAAGAGCCCCCCCACACGTGCAGCGCACAGCGCAGACGGCACACAGCACCACAACAGGCACAGCACACAATGCGCAATAACACACACTGCACGCGACACAATCACACCACGGAAGCCCAGCCAGTGGTTCTTTGTCTAGCGTCGACGATGACGAGCACGGCCATGCCGCTGGTGATCCCAGGAGGCAGGGGCGCCAGGAGACCCCCAAAAGAAAACCCCACGAAGGGTCCGCGACGGCCCACGCCAGTCCAGCAGGCCCAAAGGGAGCTCCAAGAAAGTCCTGGACGGCCCTACAGGGCCCAGAACGGCTTAGATGGCTCCGAGATTGCCCAGCAGGCCCCACGAGGCTGGAAGAAAAGCGCGAGAGGCCCCAAGGCAGGCTCCAAGAGCCGCCCCAAGCGGCAACAAGCGACGGTACGCAGCGGCACGCAGCGGCAAATACCAGGAGCAACCAATCTGCATCAAGAAACAGCGGCAATCAATACCAAGCACCAGCAACTAGCCGTGCACAAGAGCAAGCAATACGCAACAGTAAAAGCAGCAAGCGGCTCAAGGAGCGGCGCTTCCCGTTGTGCACGACATGGTCTTACGAGGTCTCGTGGCCCTGGCATTGTAGACTTGCCATACTTCTCCCTACTCCACGGCGCGTCAGAAGCTCTTAAAATTCGGCTTTGGGAGAGAATTTGTTTTCCCAAACTGAGCTTGCCTATAGTGTTTTTTCACATACGGCCGGCCCGAGGTATAAGATCGAGGTCGGTTCGGGGGGGGTACCTTGATGTTCTTCGTGTTTGTTGGATGTTCTTGTGCATCCCGGAGGGTACCCTTGGATGTTCTGTGTGTTTGGGCATGCGGAGGGTTTCGTGTTCTTGAAGGATGTTGTACACTTCGGCACGGACGAAATGGGTACGGAAAGAATGGGTACAATGCCCAACAGCGATTCCTGTTCATTTTGAACAGGACTCGCTGTCGGTGTTGCCGCGGCCTGGGAACATTTGAGACAGAAGGCCGCCTGCCCAACAGCGGCCGCTATTGGTTTGGGACAACATTTGTTGTTGGGCACTGTGCCCATTTTTTCCGTGCCCATATCGGGCGTCCAAAACTGTCCCAGGTCCGACCATAGTAGCTCCAGCAGTTTGGTCGCCCTCGGGCCGCGTCCCTCCCAGGGCCCTCCCGTGAGCACCCCGTGGGCCTACTGCGTGCCCGCCCGCGCTTGCGGCGACCTCTGTGTGCTGCCAGCGCTGCCGTCCCTCCAGCTGTGCCCGCCGGCGTCTGGCGCACGTCGCGTGCCGGGGCTCGAGAGACGGGGGTCGGTGCAAACGGGGGTCAGTCGGGGCGCCAGATCTTGCCTGGAGGATCAGTTTTCGGGGACCTCGGCAGGCGGTGGACATGGACATCTTCGGGCCCTCAGGGGCCAAAATGTATCGCCAGCCAGTGCCCGCTGGGGCACCGGGACGTTGACTCCCAGGCGGTGGATATGGATATTTCCCCGCCTCGCTAGAAGAAAGAAAAGCGGTATGCGCAAGGAGGAGGAGGAGGAGGAGGAGGAGGAGGAGGAGAAGGAGGAGGAGGAGGAGATACACTTTTGGCGCTTCGCGCGGATTCCCTGGATACCCGCACCTTTCGCTCCTGGCGGCCATCGCGTTGCCAGCGCACGTGGCCAGGAGGGGCCGCCAGGGAGCCCACTCGGGGCGGCCACCCCGGCAGGGAGCCCATGCGGGGCCGAGCCTGGCGCGGCTGGCCCCGCGGGCGAGCGGGTCTCCCCCCTCGTCGCTGTCGACGTCGTCCTCCCTCGACGAAGAGAGACGGCGGCCCGCATAGCAAGGACGCACGATGAGGATGCAAGGGCCTCGGAAGGCCATCTCGGCACTTTGCGGGCGGGGCGCGGCCAGCGAGAGCGGCCAAGGATGGGCCGAGGGGGGAAGGAAAAAAGGGTGACGTTTGACAGTTACCATTGCATCCTTCCCCCCTCGGTCCATCCTTGGCGACTTTCGCTGGCCGCGCCCCGTTCGAAAACGCCAACGTCGCTTTCCAAGGCCCTTGACCGGGTTGCAGCCATAGACTTCAAAAAGGCTTTTGACACAGTCGAACACGACAGCCTATGGGCAGCTCAGATTTACCAAGACGTCACGCCTGGGTACGTAGACGTAAACCTTTTACGACGCATGTTCAAAGACCAAACAGCCGTGGTCCGCACCTATGCAACCTGTAAAACGTTCGAACTCCAACGCGGCACAAAGCAACGGGATCCACTGAGCTCATTGCTATCCAGTGCATTACTCCAACACGTCTTAGCACCGCTGATCTCAGCGTGGCAGAGGAAACACCAAGGCGTCCAACTGGGACACGCCGACGTGGCGACATTCACGAACCTTCGGTTCGCAGATGACATCTTGCTGACAAGCCAAACACTGCCCAACCTAAGAGCAATGCTTTCCGACTTCATTACCGCAGCAAAACAGCACGGATGGGCATTGGACCCGGCCAAGACCAATCAGCCTCGACACCGCGACCGAATAACTAAAATAGCAGGAATGGGCATCGTCATATTACCACGAACGCGCACCATCACCTACCTGGGCCAGACGATTACTTTCCACGACGCACCTGGAACCAAAATAAAGCATCGGATCCAAGCAGCATGGGCATGTTTCAGTAGCCACCGACAAAAACTCACCAGCAAACACTATCCACTGCGATACCGACTACGACTATACAGGGGCACCGTCATCCCTTCTATGACGTACGGAGCAGAGACGTGGACGTTGACAGAGCCTCTCAAACAGCAGTTACGCAGAACACAGCGACGGATGGTACGAATCATAATCGGAACACCAATGAAACGCACGGCAGCGACACTGACACCACGACACAATCAAGAGACATCCCCAGACAATCACAACGACACCAGCAGCACAGCACCAATCGACTCCAGCGAGTCCGACGTTTACAGCAACCCACCTGCAAACCAGCCAAACTCGCAGGACGACGTCAGCGACGACGAAAGCACCCAACGGGGCAATACGCAAAACGAGGACGTCGAATTGTGGTCCGACTTCATCTGCAGGAGTACACGGAGAGCAGAGACATTGATGTTGAAACATGA